TTTTTTTTAAAAAAAAAGTTATCAAGCTCTTAAAAAATCACCCTTTACTAAAGACGGATATGTAAGGCAAAACTTTTTACTGGTAAAAAATCAAACAGCTAATAATCGAACAACACTTGAGGAGTACTTATACTTTGATCACTGAAAATTGCCAGAAGCGAGAAATTCGTATGCTACTCGTATTTCAGCCACGAAAACATATTTTGGCAAGTTAAGGCAAGCTTAATTGGATAACTGAAAAGTATGAAGAATTGGTTGCATTGCTGCACTGCAAAAGGAAGAGAAAAGTTTTGAAATTTTCACTGTGTGATGACCTAGAGTTGGCAACACTACCCATACGTATGTGTACATATGTATCTATACCAACGTGGCTGCCATCTTTAGTCAGTCTACAACATTTTAGCCCAGTTAATCTGTGCTTTTTTGATTGGAAAAATACGCTCAATTTCACTGAAAATATTAAAAAAAAAAATAAAAATAAAAACAAATCGTCTGAGTTAAAAAATTTGTCAATATTGCCATCACATGAAAATTTAGTTCAGAAATATTTAAGCAAAACCTTATTATTTAGATAAGTCTCAAAAATCTATCAAATCTAAATCCTGAATGATCCTACAGAAAACCAACAATAAGCTGTGGAAACCCCACTAAGTGTCAGAAAATCCTTTAGAAAAAATCGCAAAGTTCCGAAGGTCCTCAAATTTGAAATTCTTGAAATTTCCTTACTTTTTTATTTACTTTTTTAAATTATATTCAACAATTTTTATTGAGCTCGAGGCCGTTTTTAATGAAAAACTTATTGTGGTAAAGCAACAATAACTGAAAAAATTTAAAATTATTTTTAAACAACTGAAATTTAAACACAAATCTAAATAATGTGAATCATTTGCTTTGAAGTCCACTCGTATGTATTGCCGCATTTTGTGAAGTACTACCTTGTTAATTCGAACTAAGAGAAGTAGGGAAAACAAAAGCGTATCACTTTCAATGCAATTCAAACCAGCGCTGCAAAAGTTAATTGGACAGAATCCATTGCGGCGCGTACTTAATGCTGTGCCAACACTTTACAACTGCCCGCAGTTTAATTTTGTCATTTACAGCAACAATGTCAAACCCAACAATCGTCGCGCT